ACCAAACCCTGCCCAGATGTAGTCAAGACAGTCATCTCTTTCAGTATTCAATATAAGTTTGCCTGTCCACCACTTCCTTCAACGGATTCTCCAGTTTCCGCAGCTAAGCCCCCCCCCCAATCAACTCTGGATTAAACGTAAACTAGCCTGATGCTTGTCCTCCTTCAAGCAATACTGGGCCACCAGTGACTGCTTGGATCTTTTGACAAGGAACTTGAACAACTTTGTGACTTTTGACAAAGTGAAAACTGTTCTGGCCTAGACGGAGTATTGTAGAGTTTAGTTGAATTCCACCAGCAGTTGGCAGAAACCATCTTTTCTCAGAAGCTTCCTCATCGACATGGATATGTGGCAGAAGATCGTCGTCAGTGGACCAGGTCTACGTAGTTCTTTCATCGATGGCCTTCGTAGCCATCTGGATTCCTGGAACAGTCTGCTGAGAGGGTTGGAAAGGATCTGTGATGGACCGGAAAAGGTTCAATCCCTGGAGGAGATACGAGAAGGGTATCAGGTAGAGATTCTGCATGTCTTCCCTCTTGGAACACCTCCTCAAGCATGCCAGGCTTAAGTTCTGATACCCATTTGCCCCCCTCCCAAAAACAAATTCAGGTACCGGTACACAGATTCCCAGATGTGCAGGATTAGTCATCAACACTAATCACTTGCTTGCAATAGCTCTAATAAATAAAGAAATTCAGTCAGTACATTGCTCGCACATGTATGTACATGTAGATGTTCATGCATGTGTATTCATGTACAATGTGTAGGTATGTGCACATGATCGTGCATATGAGAATACATGTACAGGTACATGTAATCTATGCACATATACATACATGTACATGTACGCTTATGTACATGTACGTCTACCGGTACCTGTCATTGATCCAGACATCAGTAGGATACCAATCGGGAAACCAGTCATTCACCATCGAGGACTTTTCAATCTCATGTCTTCCTAGTGGACCTAGTTTAGGGGAGTCCAGTGGGGATGTACATGTATGTTAGGGTCTTGCATCCATCGACCTACACTAGACTCCTCATGGATTATGACAATTCTGAGGATGTTACTCATGACACTGCTTGCTTTATGGTTGGAGGTACACCCCCAGGTCCCTCCTTACCTTTCCCCTCAAGTCCCTGCTTCAACTTCCGTTCTATCCCAGACTCAGCTCAGCATTCATTTTGAATCATTAACTATTGGAACCATGTGACAATACTCCACTCAAACTTTGGCCCTGATACTTGGTTGTGGCAGAAAATGGCTCGGTATTGAGCTTGAGCCTCAGGATTCCAAAGTCTTGAGAATGACTTCGTGAAACTGAAGCTTAAAACCATGACTGGGGGAGGCCAAAATTTGGACCCCCCCTTCCAAGTGACATGTTTGTAAATGGGTCAGCTGGTCTTGCTACCTTTACGTGAAACTGGTTGTGTTTCAACTCGGTATTACTATTGTCTACAGCTAGACCACAAAACTGCCACTGTACATGTACATGTATGAGGGTAACAGCCCTCTTTTCCTAACAGTGTATTGTATAGGAGAGTCCCATCTCAACATTCCTTCACAGACTAGGACAGGTGCATGTACAATAGGAGTAAGAGACCCAGGGGGGCTGCATTTACTACAGGTACATGTTTTACATGGGGGGATGGGGGGTGGAATCACAATGGACTATCACAATTCAACATGAACTGGTGGATTGTATGGTGAAATTCAAAGCCTGTCACATAGGAAACTCTGTGTGACCTGACTATTGGTCAGAGGTCAGCTTTGGAGGTCCTCAGTCAAAAAATGCTAGAGAACTTTGAAATTGTTTAAGTACTGATCCGTTCTGGATTACATTGACTTGATGGCCAGATGAGAAATATTGACATTTACAGAGAAACTGCATGTACATGTACCAGTACATTTTATGCATATTTATACTATGACAAAGCTTCCGGTAAATGCGTCATGAAGCGATGTGCACAACAAGGGTAGAATATGAAACCAGTCAGTTTAATAACCCTTTTGCAAGTTAGATTTAAACAAACGCTGATACACCGAGTTCTCTGATTGCACATAAACATAACAATTTGATTTCCGCAGGCTTTTGTTGCTATACCTCGTGATTCGCATAGCGACCACCATCTCTGGAATGGACTGGTTCCTTTGTGCCCTTCTTATCCATTGAGAACAGTGTATTGTTGCAAGGTGTCTCTCGTGTAACCAAGCAAAAGCTTGCCCCGAATCATGAGATACGTGTATAGCAACAGTGTTTTTAGTCTGGAGAATTCAAATGGTTATGTTCGCTGGAATTAAAAGAATTCAGTGTACCAGACTTTCATGCAGAAACAAGGTTTTGAGACTAAGGTGTTACC